AAAGCTGAGAATAGGTATCAGTTTTCAAAACTGATTACCATATAGATTATATATGGTGAGATCCTGTCTCTAGCTCACCCTTTGGACCTTTCTTGATATCACTTTTTCTATTGTTGTTTGTCACCACCTGTCATCCAGAGGCACCACAGTCTCTACTGCCATCACCTGTCACCTCTCAGCTTCTGTAATTCTCCGTGTTAGTTGGAAATTGTTAAAATTCAGCACTTGTCTCTGCTTGGAAACCATCCGTGTTTCTCCATCCTTACAGAATTATTCTTTTAAAACCTCGTGGTATCATCTAAGACTACTTTGCAAAAAGCTGGTTTCCAAGCTACCTTCAAAGAACCTTTTAGGAGCCATAGGTTTTAAAATATATGGATGGCAAATCTCGGTGCCTGTCTTCCGTCCTCCCTGAGATGCCCTTCCGTGTAACCAGATTGTATCCGCTCTTCAGTCTCACTCCGTTTTCTCCTTTTGTAAGAAGTCTTCCCTGATCAGCTCTATAAAATTGTCTTTTCCAGAATTTTTCTGTATTTTCTTTATTTAACATGTTTTGGACTTCCACTCAAAGTGCAAATTCCCCATTGAAATGCCCTTAGAATTTCCACAGGTGCATAGCATTTTGATAGTTACTAAGGATTCACTATGTTTTCATATATCACAAAGAAACACATGCAGATGTAGACAGTGCAAAAAGGACGTATCAAATGAAAGGAATGAACACAACAACCCTTTTCTAACTCACTCCTACATTCACAGCCGCTACCCCATTGTAAATATTGTTTAGAAACTTTAGATGATTATATAAGAATATAAACAATTTTTATACAAAAGCAATCATACTTTGGACACTGCCTTTTTCCACAATAGATCGTGGAGATTTTCTCATACTATAGACGGATTTATCCAGTTTTGCTAATGCCTGGCTAACATTCCCTGAGAGTGTGGAGATCCTCCTAGTGACAATGAGACTGTCTCCAGTTTGTGCCTATTTGTGCAGTCACAATTGAAGGATACATTTTTATTAGTGAAATTTGGAGTCGGTCATTATATCTAGTGTCTCATATTTTGGCCACATTGCTGGTTGAAGAGGCTGCATCAGCTTATGGCGAGCATGTACGTCTTAGCTCGGGTCCCCTCTAGGAGGTTCATAATTGTTTTTGTGTACTGAACAGGAACGATAGGAAAACTGGTACATTATTCTAATAATTTGTATTTTTAAAATTATGAGTGAGAGCTAGTGTTTTTCATATTGTTTTGAGACTTTTTTTTTACTTTGCTTACTTAATTTATTTATTCTCTCTCTCTCTCTCTGTGTCTGTGTGTGTGGTCCTGGGAATTTAACACAGGGCTTCATACAGGCTACGCAAGTGCTCTATCACTGAGCTACGCCAAGTCTTTATCTGATTCTAACTTTGTTGACTTTGTTAACATTTCTGTGAGTTTATCAATTGCCTTTAAAGTTGTTTTTAACAGTTTTTTTTACAATTGTAATACTTATGAATCTTTTGTGATTTTAACTTTTTTTTACAATTGTAATATTTATGTATCTCTTGTGGTTTTTAGGTTTTCTTTTAAAGGACTTTCCAATTGTGAACATACTAGTTTGTGCTTTCTTCTAATGCATAGTTACATTAAAAAATAAGTTACATATTAGAACCTCTTTGAATTAATTTTGATTCAAGAAGAAAGTGATATAGGATTATTTTTTCTAAGTTAAAGAAAGTATCCCAACACCTTGATGAAAGTTATTTTCTTCATTGGCTTGAAATGCTTTTTTTAATCACATGCTAAATCTCATATATATTTGGCCTTATATCTGAATTCTGTTCTAACCCATTGATCTTATAGCAATTAATTACTAGCATTAATTACTGTGGTGATAGCTGTAGTTTTATAATGTATTTTAGCATTTGATAGAACTAGCCCCCCCCCCCGCATTTTTTTGCATTGGGGATCCAACTCATTGCTTTGCCCTTACCAGGCAGGCATTCATGCTGCTGAGCTAAATCTCTGGCACTAGGCTCTTTTTAAAGAAAACATTTCTGAATATTCTATAAAGTTCCTTGTTCTGTGTTCCAATTTAAGCGTACTATCCTTTCAGAAACTTTTAAAAAATTCTTTGTTTTTATTACTGAAAACTTACTGGATTACAGACTAAAGTGAACTAATATGCTTTCAAACAGACTATTTGCATTTATTCAAGTCTCCTGGTAGGCTTCCTACTAGATATTTAAGTTTTCTTGACACAAGTCTTACATATTTCATATTACATTTATTCCTGTGTATCATTATTTTTCTCTGCTTTAAATGAGTTGTTTTATTATATTTTTGTTGGCTATTATACATGTATAGGAAAACTGTTGAATTTTATAAATTAATGTTAAAAGCAAATGTCCATATTGAATTTTCCTAAAAATTATAGTAAAAATTTTTTCTACTTAAATCTTAGACTTCTTAAGTGTAAAATCAGCTTACTTTCAAATAATTTTGCACTTTCTTTTAAAACTTTTACACTTCCCCTATTTACTTCATTTGGCCCATCACAGTTTTCAGGATCTCCTGATAAATGTTACATGGTGGTGCTGTTATTGAGTATCACTGGCTCAATCACGTTGAATGAAAATTCTTTTTTTTTTTGTATCAAGAATCGAACTCGCAGCCTTATGCTTGCCAGGCAGATGCTTACGCCACTGAGCTAAATCCCTGCCCTTTAATGGAAATTCTTGTAATATTTCATTGGGCCTTTGGTTAGGGAATTATCTAGCTATGTAGGAGTTTGTAAAGCACGTGCATATGTGTGCACGAGCATGCATGTGTCTGTGTTTAATTAAGAGGTGGATGTTTAATCTCATACATTTTAAGCCAACTGTATGAATTATGAAGTTTGTAAAGTTTGAACTACTAATAAATTAATAAACTATATGTAGCTAATCTAATAATTTTCCTAACACGGAATAATCCTGGGTTTCTTGGATTAGATTACACATAAACATAGTATATTTTCTCCTCAATGTGTGAAATCAGTCCACATGTGGGTCTTTTCTTCTATGGCTGTATCTGTTTTGGGGAAAAAAATTACCTTCACACATATAATTTGGAAGAAATCAAAAATATTTTAAAATGGGTGAAAAGATATAAATATGCAGTTTTCTAAAGGGGAATTGAATTACTTCATTTTCCATTATAGTATCTGTACATAAAGCTGTGTTTGTAAGGAAAAGAAGCATAGTTAGCCCACAGTTACAGAGTCCAAACAGCATTGCACTGGCTCTGGCGAGGACTCCTGGGCTGCATCACATCATGGCACACAGCATCACGGGGAACACAAGTGAGAGGAAAAGAACATAGAGAAAAATAGGAAGCCAGAGCAGGGGTTGGGAAGAATGACTTAACTGACTATTTTCATAACTATCAACAAACAAGAACTGACTCATTGTGAGAAGTATGTCAGTTCCTTCCAAGGACAGTGGCCTTGGTTGACACAAAGAGCTGCCTCTTAACACCACATTGAGGCTCAACCTTCCAGTGTGTGAATCCTAGTGTGATGAATCACATTTGAATCATAGCAGAAATTACCAATGGTTGAAAAAACTATATATATATAGTATATATATATATATGCTCGATCTCACTTGTAAATGTAGATTGATAACACCTTAATAATATCTTTCTCATCACATCCAGAACTATTTAAGGGAATAAACACATTCTTTTATTTCTATTAGTAATGACTATCACATTTTCCTTCAAAGCTCTCAATCTCTAAGAAACATGAAAGCGCATTCATAGAATGGCACTAATTCTTCGCTTAGTCAGATTTTAGTCAGAGTTTGAACCTTCTCCTAGACCTATCCCTGAGCTTTCTCATAAAATCTAGTTTATCAAAGAATTCTGCTAAGTCAGTTTGGCAAGAACCCCTCAGCATCACTACCTGACCCCCTTTGAAACCTGAGCAGGCTCTTCCTCCATAACCTGCCCTAACCTGTCTGAGCATTCTGACCTACCTTCAGCTGGAATCTGGGTCTGTTACCTACAACCCCTCTTGCTCCTGACATTTCCTCTTTGTAATTTCTATCCTCTCCTTGGGAATAAATTCCCATTTGCCCTTGCTCTGTTTGGGGTTAAGCCTCATGCTTCTCCCCCACCTCAAGTCTCCCTTGCAGTGGTCCCTATGCCCATCAAGATGGTCTTGAATAAAGTCTCCCATGCTTTAACAAGTGTCATTTACTTTCTTTCTTTAACAAGAGACACTTGGATTTTAATCTTAAAATAGGCAGAATGAAAGGTCCACTGTTCTCTAGAAAGAAAAAATACACGAAGAGATTTTGACTGATAACTGTTCAGCATTGCTTTATAAACTGAGCATAAACACTTTCCTTCATCAAAGTCGCTCTGATTTTTGGTCCTGAAATTTCATATGTAACTCAGTTTCTGGAAATATCAAATGCAATTTAGTACCAAGAAGTCATGTGAGAAATTCAGATCTCTGTTTCTTCACCTATAAAGTGGTGAATGCTTCTGTTTGCTTTGATAGACCACAAGAGAGATGAAAATAAATGATATTTGATGGGGCCCTTCACAAATCTAACACCAGAAAATGTTGACATTTATGTATTGCAAGTGGACAGAGCAGAATACGTAATTGTTTATGCTAAAATTTCATGAAAGATCCTAGCCTTCTCCATGCCAATTAAATAGATCTGTGAAAAAGAGAATTTTTATGACATTTCTACCGTCTCTCCACCCAGCCATGCTTCCTGAAGCCTGTCCCTTTCCTACAAAATTAAGGTTCTATGGCTACAGAGTCTGTACATGTGAGGTTTACACCAGGGAGAGGAGCAGGTGGAAGAAGTGGGCTGGCACACTCCTCCTCTGCTCTCTTGGCAGAGTGTAGCTCTTTGGGCCTGCCAAGGAGAGTGGTAGACAATGCCTTGAAGATGCGGCTGCCATTACTACAACCAACAAGTTTCCAATGTGGGGCAGGCAAGGCTACTCACGAGACGCAGAGGCACAAGGCTCCAGGTACAGACTCGCTGTCTCTTATCAGGAAGTTGCCATTCACTCCTTCCTTGAGCAACAAAGTCTCACACTCTTGCTTTGTCAGAGGGCCGTGGTAGTAAGGCAGATCCATGGAGAGCTCTCCTTGGTACAGCTTCTGGGTTAGCTGGGAGTCCAGGTCTGAAGAAGACAGTGGAGGTGGTTTGAAGGGCCTCTTCTTCCAGTGGTGTGGGAATGAGATTCGGTTGCTCTGTGGAACTCAGTTTCATCAGATTCAGGAAATGAGAAGGGCGGGGTGATGAAGTGACCAAGACACTTTAGCCTCAAAGTAGCCTCAAAGTAGCCCCAAAGTGGCTCAAAGTGGGTAGAATTAGTGATGTTCATGGGTGGCCGCAAGACTGAAGTCAAGCTCCCTGGAACCAGACTGTATCTTGTGTGTCACTGAATGCCACCAGCTTGTACCTTCTCTAGCACCTGGCATCCTTTCTAAGGAACATTCCACTCATTCTGCAGCAATGGATGCCTATTTTCTGCTAAAGCTGCCTCCAAGTAAGCTGTGCTTAGCTGAAAACGAATACATTTGGGGGCTGCAACAGTTGACATGTCCAAGCACAATAGGACAACTGAAAAAGAGAGACACTTCTGCAGGTTCAAGCGACATGAAAAATGGAAACAGCAGTGGAAATAAAAAGGTCACTGAACACCATTATAGCCCTTCTCATGTAAAGAGATTCTTGCTAATGTTCTCAAGCACTGTGGCTTGTGAGGAAAACAGGTGACAGAAATATATGAATATCCCATTTAGCACAGATGACAGGCGTATCTAGCCATGCAATTTGTTGTAGGGGGGCCCAGGCAGAGGCTTGAATCTGGGCTCCAATTATCTGGCTTCATTCAACCAGTCACCATCAAGCATATGAGAAGCCACACGTAGAGTTCATATCTGCAATCTAGCACTCTGGAAGGCTGTGCCAGGAAGATTACAAGTTTGAGCCCAGTCTAAGAAATTTAACAGTTTAGCAAAAACTTGTCTCAAACCAAAAAGGCTGGGGTGTAGTGCCAAAGCCCCGAGTCCAATCCCCAGGACTGGAAAAAAGAAAGTGTGAGAAAATTCTTACCGATAGAGAAATTAATTTATTTACCATTTGGCCAAATTGTGCAGGCAGCTAGTCCTCTGTTCTTGAATGCGCAGAAGTGCTTGATTTACAGAAACAAAAGCTAGGAAATATGCCTATGTAGATTTAGCTGGGCTTTGGTACCAGCAAGCCCAGAGAACAGTAACCTCCTGCTGAAACCTCCTTGGCACTAGGATTGGAAGTGGCAGTTTCTACTCAGCATGAGGAAGTTGGAGAAATACTTCAATGGTTTTTAAATTAAGGTTATTGGTAAAATTTAGATATACATAATGATCTTATTTATCACAGGGAATTTGTACTTGTGTATGATATATTTGGATTTGGCTTTTATTTTTTCCCAATTCCTTCCCCTCCCTTCAAGCCCTATTCCCTTCTTTATTTCAAAGATATGTTTCCATTCAAATCCTTCTTTTATTGTTTTTTTCCTTTTTTCTTCTTTCCTTTCCCCCTCCACCCTTCCTAGTCCTCTTTTCTTTTGAAATATTTTTTCCTATTTCACAATACCTAGTTACACTTTCGGTTTCTCACACCAGAGAAATAATGTGATATTTACATTTGTGTAACCTGTGTATTTCACTTAGGCATATGGTAGACACAGTTTTAAAATCTTATTTTTTTCCTGTACTCGAGATTGAATTCAGATGAGCTGCATCTTTGGTCCTTTTTTGTTTTTTATTCTGACGTGAGGTGTCATCATGTTACGAAACTGCCCCAAATAAGCTCTAAATTCCAATCTTCTTGTCTTGGCCTCCCAGAGTACTGAGATTACAGGCATGCACCACAAGATTTGTATTAACCTCTTGTTTCAAATTGATTGCAGTAGAATCTGAGTATCCAGTTTAGTGTACAAATACTGGTCCACATGGGAGGAAAGAGGGTGTGAGAGCTGGGTTAGTAACTGCCAGGTCCTTTGAGCTCCTACCCTGAAAGATCAGAGCTGTATCCCCATGAAGAAAGTTCAAGAAAGTTCTAGTGACTAGGACATTTATCTCCTTTTAGATCATTTTGTTTATGAGAAATATTTTTTTTGTTTTTATTTCTGAGTTCTTCCCACATTGATTTACTGATAGTCTACAGAAATAGAAAATTATGTGGCTTCTCTAATCTGAGTCCTAATATAATACCCAAGGCTTTTATGAACAACCAAATCAACCTATGTGTTAGTTATTGATCAATTTCCGATGTGATAACCTATACAAGCATACCTACAATCCAGTATGAAATTGAATTACATTTATATAACTCTCACAAATACCATCCCACAGTGTTCATATCAATAAACTCAGTAAATTTCTCTCCCTATTCACCTGCCTCACTAAAATATCTCTGGGAAATCACTGTATATCTTGAGTATGTATCAATAAAAATCAACTGTATGCGGATGGCAATCCTGATGTCTCTAAACATTTTCTTAATTCAGATGTTAATCACACTTGGCAACTTTGCTGAGGTGTGTCTTGTATTGAAAAGTAAGAACTTCCTTGTAATGACAGGTCTTTGTCTTCTTGCAAGTCCGATTGCTCGGCTGTTTGGTATGATGAGTTATGTACTCACCAAAGAACTCCTTCTCAGAGTGATATGCATTCAAATCCAACTTCCTCTTGAGTGATCTTATTTGATTCACTTTTAATTCACTGGGAATTATGGTGAAGAAGAAAATACTGATGAAAGAGGAATTTCTAAGTTAGGTTTCTGAAAGGTCTCCATACGGATTTCTGTAGTGGTTGTGCTAGTTTACATTCCCTCCAACAAGGCAGAAAGGTTGTTTTCCCCACAACTTTGCAGTATTTCTTGTTTCCTGAGTTATTGATGAAAGTAATTGTTACTGCAGTAAGATAGAATCTCAGTACTGTTTTGATTTGTATTTCTCTACACAGATGCTGAACATTTTTTCCTATACTTATTGGCCTGGTGTACTTCTTCTGAGAAATGTTTATTCATTTTAATTGTTCATTTCTTGAGTGTTTCTTTGTGGGGGATCTAATTTTTTGATTTATATATTCTAGATATATATTTGTTCCCTGAGGAGTAGCTAGCAAAACTCTCTTTCTTATTTTGTAGGTTGTCTTTTCACTCTGTTGGTTGTTTCCTTTGTTGTGCAGAAGATTTTTGATATGATGTCATCCCCACTTGTTGATTCTTGGTGTTATTTCTTGTGCAATTGGGATTGTGTTTTTAAAAAACCTATTGTCCTATTGCTTATATCTTCAAGCATTTTACCTATTTTATCTTCCAGCAGATTTAGTGTATCTAAAGTATCTAAAGACTTGATATATTTTTATTTTATTTTACTACGAGAGATACAAGTCTAGATACATTCTTTTGCAAGTGAGTAATTAGTTCTGTTGGTTACTTTTCTCTCATTACTGGGAAAAAATACCTGACACTCAAAATTAGGGAAGGAAGAGTTTATTTAACTCACAGCTTGTGGAGGTTTCAGTCCATAATCAGCTCATAGCCATAATCAGTCATAACCAAGGCAGGGTGGTGGCAGACACCAAAAGCAACAAGATCAAAAGGGACAAAAAGGGAGAAGTATGCCTCTTTCCCTCCCTTGTGTTATACGCAGGCTGTCTACCCCAGGGCAGGTGCAGCGCTCACACCACCAATCCCAGCACTAGCTAGTGAACCAGTCACAAACTCTGGATTCAGCTGCCTTCAAAAGGCACCTCCCCATGACCACATGAGGCTTTGGGGGAACATCCAGACACAAACCATGGCACCAGTTTTCTCAGCACCATTTATTAAAGAAACCTTCTGTGAAGAATGCGGTTAGTATTTTGATTGGGATTGCATTAAAACTGTACATCAGTTTCAATAGTATGATCATTTTGACAATACTGGTTACATGTATCCAGGAACAGCTTTTAGAAGATTTATTTCACAGTTGGCTCCATTGCAGGAAGGATGTGATGAAGGGGTCTGGTGCAGAAAAGCTGCTCATGTCATGGCCACCAAGAAGCAGAGAGGGACAGAAGAAGCCAGGGACAAGTATACATCATTCTGGGTCACACACCTGTCAGGCTCCCACCTCCAGTCAGGCTCCACCCCCAACAGCAAGCCAGATAGAGTCCCATGATCCATTCACCTTCCAAAGTCCTATCTGTGAACACTTGGGGCTTTCCAGGGACATTATAAGTCTCGATCATTGCAATAGCCATTTTAGTTACTTTCTTAATTGTCATTGCCCCTTATCTAAAATAGAACTTATTTGATATATACCTGTAACTAACGTGTACAACTATCAGTGTCATGGATCTGGAAACTTTACAGCTGCAGTCTTTTTGTGCCGTCAGAGACTGGTTTCATGGAAGAAAATTTTTCCACGGCCCAGGGGAGGAAGGAAATGGTGCGGCATCATTCACAGGAGCATGCAACCGAGATCCCTATGTGTGCAGTTCACAGTAGGCTTGTGCTCCTGTGAGACTCTAACGACTTCAGTGATCTGAGGGAGGTGGAACTCAGGCAACGGGAAGTGGATGAACTATAAATGCTGCTTCTTTCCAGCCTGCAGGCTCGGGGTGTAGCTCAGCGTTACAGCGCCTGCCTGGCAAGAACCAGGTCCTAAATTGGATCCTAACTGAGAGGGAGTATTCTGAATAGGATTCGTGGCAGTGTGTCTTTTACTGCCCTGGTGTTTTCTGTAGGTTTTGAGCACATCGTGTAGGTATATGCAACTCTGAAGAAGTTTCAGAAACTCTAGGTTAGCAAGGAGAAGGGGGGAGAAACTCTCACATTTTTGACCGAATAGGTTCTTCCAGTGGCCAGCTGACCTGTGGCTGTAGGAGGTGGGGTGCTTTCCTCACAGCCCCCACATCTGAAAGAGCTGACTGAACTAGTCATACTGTATTTCCTGCCTGTAAAGCCTTTGGCCTGAGTCATATTCATCCACTCCGTGGGGTGGGAGGGAGAGAGATATTTTCTCCAACAAGTTAAACTTTTCTTCTTCTCCAGGAGCATGGATGGGCAGGTTGAGGCCACAGTGTTGGTGTGAGAAGTATCATCAGCAAACCCGAAATATTCCTTCATCTGGCACTCACCTCCTGCTGTGAGGCCTCCCCAACTTTAAAGTTGGAGAACCCTGCTTTACAGAATTAGTTGGGCAGCTTTGCCATTAATATTAATA